CGGCTTCCGTAAGATTGGATGTGATAAAATATTGCTAAATTGTTATGCCTGTCTTTAAGCACTATTTTTTAATGATTTTTAACTTCCATTAATTAGTAATATCGATTAGTGTATTTTAATAACGTGCGTTTCCTTGTATTGATATATGGCCTATTATTGTGGAAGGGAAGCAGTTGTGTAAAATTGAACCGTTCGGTTTGCGGTGCTGTGTAAACACGTAAATATTTTTTTGACACGTATTTGTTCTTTGATCTCTAATAACTTAACTGAAGTGCTAATTTCGTATAGTGACATAATTTGCTAATCTGTGTGTATACGGTGAAAAGATTTATTCTGCTAGCAGCGTTAATCCACTTACCGATTCCTATTCGTGTTAGGGGTGGACTTCAGCGTCACGCCTATAGGTCTTCAGTAGCCAAGATGTTGCAAAATAGTCTCTGGGGCATTAACGTTGTGCTGAGTTTCTTAAGATTCTGAAGACTGCTCCGTAATTCTCTCCTGCTTTTCCTTTGCAATACATATTTCTTCTTGGGCGCGAAGACGAACCGTACAGAGGTTGAAAATCATGACCGATGAATTAATAATCCATTAAATGGTTTTGAGCAAGCATTTTGAAAAGATGGTTGGATTTTTGTTTTTATATCTTTTCGTATTGCGCAAAGCAAGATTGTTAAAATGGCGAAGATAGGCTTTACTGTAAAATACAGTTCATTCTTATCTGTTGGTCGTAAATACCACGTTTATAGCGCTGCTTTGGCGAGAAAGAATAAGGGACAAGGTAACATAATCCTGCACACATTTTTGAACGACACATTCAGAAATCGCGATGTACGCACAAGATTTTAATTTTTTATTTCATCAGCATGTAAAAGATCTATTTCAGTGTATCTTCGCCACAAACGATGGAGGAGTATGCAAGAGAGCCATGGTAATCGACGTTATTTCGTAGTAAGCGGTTAACTAATGATGCTGTATTTCTTAGTCCATGGAGAATCGTGGACGATTGCGGCGGTGCATTTTCAATGGGTGCTGTCGGTGGAGGAATTTTTTATAGCTTCAAGGGTATTCGCAATGCCCCTTCGGTATGTCTTGTTCTACTTTCGATGTAGTTACAATACCAGAAAAATATTCTTATTGTTTTTTGTTGACACTGTTTGTTATTCAAAATTTTGAAGTTTATTTATAATGAAATGCGCCATTATGTCTTACTGAAAAAAATAGTGTAAAACATGATTTACTTATACACAACGCAAAGGAAACTGTGGTCAGTCCGGTGACAAACCTTCACCGACGCATGAACGAAATGCGCTATATTCTTATCTTTTAAATATGTCATGAAGTTTTCTCATCGTCAGTTAAGGTTCACGAAGCTTAAACAGTAAACTTGTCCAGTTATTGAGTGGTTCGAAAGTGAAAAAGTTTTTTGAATATATTTACATTTTTTTCCTGGTCTTTTATTAAACCGATCCGGGCGCTGGTTTCTGAGTTCATCTGCTATTTGTGTCAAACAAGGATAAGGAGTATGGATTATCTACTTGTTCCAGACCCAGTGGTACTCTCGCACTTTTAATATATTGTGCAGACAACGTTGTCAGAATTTCTCTAGACGAGCTTCATAACGTTTCTCCATAGCAGATGTTTCGACACTGTACATGAGAAGTGAATGGGAAACTTTATATCAGTCTTTTTAAGAACTGAAATACTGAATGTAACATCGGCGATCATTACCGTGGGTCTGTATATATTTCGAAGCTAAACTGTTTCTTTAGAATATTGGTTTATAAGACTACAGTTTAAAATTGAGCTAATAAACCTGTTATTTCTGCAAGTTCGAGTTTTACCTTTCGTTTCTCATAAGGGAACGTGTAAGATTGTACTGTTTGAACAGGAGCACAAAAATTCTGTTTTTCAATATAGAAAAAAATGTGTTAATTAAATAACTAAGTGACAGCAAAAGTTGAACAAAATTAAAAATATAAAACTCTAAGCAATAAAAAAACTTGTTCATCAAATGACAGTTACAACTCAGTGAAGGTCAATAATGTCTTTAAAGTTCAGGTGTCTGAGATATTATGAAAACATTAGCTTTAGTCACTATCTCAGCCGCTGTGGAGGGCATCCGGCAGAAATTTCAACTAGACTATAAGACTTTATACTTATGACGGATAAAAATATGGATTCCATTCTTGCTGCCACAAGGACTACTATTCCGCAGAAAGAAGGCAAAAACAGTCCATTTACGATAAGTTAAATCTGTTTTTCCCGCATTAATTCATATTGAATGACCAGCACTCTTTTGAAGGAAGGCAAAAACGACAACAGGGCAAACAACTACCTACTTCAACGCTACAGGTAACACTTTGCGACATCTCTCATTCTTTTAGATATGACCACACCTGAGTGCTATACTGTTTCTCTGCCTCTGTTGTTTGCACCCCAGCGATTTGCTATCCGGTTTTTAGCTGGACGATCGGTGTTGGATAAATTTCTTGCTCAACGAAATTAGCCATTATTGGACCCTTTTTTGATTCAGATTTGGAACCCGCAGAGTTCGAAGCCACCATGTCTCAAAATTTTCAAACGGTTCAGGTATCTTCATAAGCAGGAGTTATGCCTATCTTTCCATGTCTTTCCTACTTTGGTATAAGTCGACGGAATGGCAGTGTTGTTTCGCTAAAAATGAACTTTTGAATTTTTCCATAATGCGATTTACCTTTTAAATGAAGGACAGGAACTTGTGTCGAAAAAAAGCTTACTTCTTCAGTTTTGATAGTCAGATCCTAGGAAATATGGTCCAAAAATTTACAAAAATATATTCTAACATTTCATCGTCTTTTTGAGATATTAGTTTGTCATGCCGTCAGACATGTTTCTCAAATGTAATACAATATTTAAAGTAATGTACAGCTAGTAATGTTTACTCGTGTTCGACTCAGGTGACTCAGATGCAAATACATGATAGTATATGTCAATTTTTCTTGCATATATGTTGCCTGAAGAAATGACAATGTGTTAGCTGGACAGTTTGTATGTTTTGTATGTTGAACACCTTTATAACGTAGGTTAAGGTCAAGTTCACTGCGATTTCAAGGCAGATTTCGTCATGCCATTTAATCTTTCTATATCTAGTTTAAATATATGATTGATTTCTTTCTATTGGGTCGTGATGCTTATTCCAAAATCTTCCCTAATCGTTTAGTCTATTCACTTATCCATATTCTTGCATTTAAACTGTCCTACATTTACAAGCGAAAATTTTCATACGGTGGTAGAAAAGCTCAACGAACAGGTCAGAATCAAACTTCAAGTTTAATTCTGTTGTCACCTGGCTTCTACAGTATCTTTAAAGTATAGAATATTTTGACTTATTCGGCTGTCTGGTGATTGGCTGTGCTCTATCCTTTCACAGAATTGTAGAGTTGAACAAAAACCTTCGGTCTGTTTAAACGTAAACCAAACTTTTGTACCGTAATTGCTCGATTATAGGACGTGAAAGTACGAATTTTGAATAGAATTTAAGCATATACTCTCAATGATAATTTAATAGGGAATTTGTATTTTTAACTTTTCTAGGTAGAATACTCAGAAGATGGAGTAGTTTGTTGCTGCGCTGTTTATTGTTACTGAAATACTGTTAATAATTGTTTAATTGCATATGTGACGCAATGCAATGTTCCTTTCGGGTGATTTAATTTTCCTGTTTTGTTCCGTTTCTCACGGGCTCTCTTAATCATAAGTTGTTGTCACTTATGTCTTCTGCAGCAGTTGGTTCGTTTCTATTCATAAGCCTTACACTTCGATTCACGGCAAATTCTTGGACTGTGAAATATGGGCCGATCGAGACTGCCAACCTTACAATGAACAATGCTCGCGTATCACATTCCAAAATATCAGTAGCGGTCTGTCATGTAATCAGTCAAGCAGCTGTATATAATTATATTATTTTATTCGATATTTCAGAATTCGTCTGTTGTACGATATATACATGTACGAGTAACATGGGAAGCACTGTTCATATTTAATAAAGTTTGTAGGGCATTAGCTTTGTTTGTGATACAATCAGTGGGCCATCAACAGTATCAGCTTTGAGATCAGTGGAGCATATGCTGAAATAGTACATAATATTTCTTGACGTCTATCTTGCGTAAGTTTTTGGTTTTGTTGCATGAAGGATCATTAAAAGTTGCTTCAATCTTTCCATTCATTTAATTTTAGGGTCTTCAAAGAAGGCTAATCGGTGGCCTAGCGGCAATTAAAGAGCGTGCGCCGATTGTTGGAGGTAAGAGACATTCTTGATAATCTTTTTCCTCTGCCCCACACTGCGGAATGATCAATCTTGACTTTTATTAACTGGATATTTTTTACACATTGTGCTGTTTTTAATAACGATGGATAACGATTAAATTATTTGCACGCGACAACTTCATCTATAGATGTGACCAGATTTCGGCCGGAATTTCTACCCTGTGTCCGGTAACGCAACTCACCAGTATTCTCATGTTTATGTTAGTAAAGATCATCCATTTAATGTGATGCTAATATTTGTGATTATTGACATGCTGATTCTTGACCATTTGTCGTCCCGCGCTCGTCATGTTCAGCACGTACCAACGAAATGGCCCTTTGTTCATCTACATCGGATCAGGATGGGCTGCAATCTTGCAAGTCCTTTCTGTGGGATAATCAAAAGGGCTTTCAATAAGACCCTTTAAAAGATATTCGATGCCATTTTAGTGGGTCTTGTTCCCGCGAAATCGATGTGGTGTTTTGTCGTGATATGATGATGGACTGGTTTAGGAGTGATTTCCAACTTTCATAATGCTTCTTCACCCACGACTGGTCGTTTGCAGCTCAGACCTGCAGTGGTGGTGATGTCTGGCCAGTATACCGTAGGTTGCAGGTCAGACAGTCCGTTTGGTGCATCTCATCTCTGGCATCTTCAAAGAATATCCGGCCTTTTACGTTTATTATTAGTGATTTTAGCTTCCCTTTAAACTTGAAAACACATTTCTGGTGTTCCCTAGGTTCATGAGTCACCAGATAGATTATGACAGACCTGGGAAGTAAAGTATGTATA